AAAAAAATACATTGCAAGTGAACAGGACATGGTTGAGAATTCCGTCAAAGAAAAGCCAGGAAAGTTCGGCTTGTGCCAATTCGTTGAACCGAGGCAGCAAAAATGAGAAATACAAATTTTAGATTTGGCCCTTTCCGTAGACACCATTGCGAAGAGTAGAAAATTTCACAAAATGTTGTAAGAGGGTTAAATCTCTCAAGGGCTTCGTGGCCAGCCTTTAACAATAATTTTCTGGATTTCATTAGCGTGAAGTGACTAAGGGTGTGTATTATTATATTCCTTGGATGGGATGTCATTGGATAGTGTGTTATTTGTGACACTCTGGAGTAAATTAAAACACAGTGGCTTGTCTAAGGTTACCATAGATGGCAACTGAAAAGAATAGAGCCCAAACCTCTCGTTCTGAGTCCGACGAGAACACCATTGGGCCGACAAAAAAACTATCGATCTCTACAGTTAATGTTCTTAATTTTTTGACCTCTTACAAACTGAACATTACCTTCTAGGCTCTGCTTATCTAGATAGTAAAGCAAATCCATCCTTTTCAGGTCGTGTAGAGTTTCCTTTAGTTTCTTAAGTGTCATCTGCGGACGATTAGCCTCCAAATACTGGAACAGCTCGTTGGTTGGGCTTTGAGTTGAACGTCTTTCGAAATTCCAACAGTCTTCCCTGGGCACGCCAAGTTTTATCGCCAAGCGGTACCAATTTGCCAACACAAGTGACGTTACATCTAGGGCTAGGGCAATCTCATCTAAAAGACTAGCCCAAGGTGAATGGGGTTGTGAAGTCATTACTTCCTGGACCCTTTCAGAACCAGTAAAGCCACCTGCAAGACACCTTCATTTATTAGCCTAGACGTTCTGCTCCGAATTATAGAGGCAAATAGTACACGGCAAAGCAGAAGGTCAGGATGGGAAGTACATTAAGATTTAGGGAGATCGACGTTCATGGACTGTAAGAAGATATATACTTGCTATTATTTAATCTCACTTCACTAAGCAGAGAGTTTGTAACTGACTCTGTCATAAAATATAGGCCTCCTTCGGTTGATGTAAAAAAGGAAAATTAATAAATCTAGGTTACTGTCAACAATTGAGAAATTATGCGTGCGTACATAGTTAATAGAGGGAAATGGTTAGGAAGGCCGGTAAATATCACAGAAGCAAACAAACAGGCTAAGATTTATGTTGGAAGGCGCTTGACCCTGCACATCTTTTGTTTTTTGCTCGTTGACTATGCATGAATTACGTAATCGCAAGGTTTCTATTGGTCAGTTGTATGAGCACACGTAACCACCTTTTGTATTTTGCCAGGTTTTGTGCAGGGTCAACCCCCAAAAAAGCAAACAAAAACATACAACAAAGAACTTTGTCAAGTTTCCTAACCATTTCGCTCAATTAACTATGGTGCGTATTGCAATTGTCTATAACTTTATTCCAGAGGAATGTACATGTATTGGCTGCTGTTAAACTCATGTAAACTACCACTGCTTAGTTCCAAGTAAGTGACAGTGTGGAAACTTTTTAGTGAAGCTGAACTCAAGACTTCCCAGAAGCAAACAGCGAAGCTGCCTTTCAGCAGCGAAATATCAACTTCAGAGCTCCACAGAGTGTGTAAAAAACGTGTTCCAATATTACCTTTTGTCGTCAAGAGACTAAACAGATCATTTCTCCTGATATCTAACATCGCGTTTCTGAGCTGTTGAATGGTCAGTTGTGGTTGCGTGACCTCCAGGTACTCAAACAGTCGAATGGTTGGACTTTGGTCTTTGTACTGTTCCAATTTTTTGATGACATCCTCATCCACGTTTAGTTCCCTTGCTAACTGTTTCCAGTTCGGGATTAATCTCATGTTTCTGTCCAAGCATAATGCCAACTGATCCAAGAAGTCTGGGTGACGTTTTAGGACATCAGAAAGCTTTGAGTCTTGACAAAACAAAAACAAAGACCTTTAAATTAGAAATACGACATGGCGGTGTATAAACAGTGGGCCTAAAAATAATATTGTTTCTTCTTGGTTGCTGATAAATAATAAAAAAGAGAATGACCAACATACCGGTCTATACAGTGCAATTGCAGCTATTTCTTTTGCCTGATTATCTAAAGAAAACTCTGATCTCTTGTTGTCCGTTATTATTACTATTCAAACTAAAATACTTTCTTGCAACTATAAATTGTAAACCGAAATTGAAACTGAAACGGTCACGAAATACGGTATATTCACTTAGTTAATACTTAGCGACGTAGAATCACTTAAGTTAACAAGGATTTGCACTCACTGCAAACATAATACTAAGATTAAAACAGTAATCTACCGTAATCGTCTGGATAACGGTTGTGAAACTGCCGAATAAGAAAGAAAGATTTCACTTTGTAGTAAGTATGAAATTAGTATGTCATTCAACTTCAAGGTCGAAGGATTCCGTCACGATATCTTTGCATGAGCAAGCGAAATAATGTTGAGTTGAGATATTTGGTTGTTTTCTTTTTCTTTAAGATTGTGATACTTCGAAAGATGATATCAACTATTAAATGCTTGCCGGCTAATTAAGCCAAAGCTGCAGAGGAGATTATAAACTTTAAAACAGAAATTGTTCACGAGGAATTTTCACTTCCGCTTTCTTCCCCGACTCAAAAGCTCACGCCACGCTCATGTTGCAACGATTTTTGTTTTTGCTATCATCTAATGAGACTTTGGAACGTAATACAGGATTGCTAGGCATCATGCCTAGCAATCCTGAGGCTCATGAGCATGCAATACACATCACCATGACTTGACGCTGAAAATTTCAATTGTGATTATGGTCCATTATGCTTGCGCGTACACACAAAATATTTTCATACTGAGCTAGAAGAGACGCTCTTTGCTAAAGAAAATAGAGCCGTTTGTAGACCAGACTAAAGAAACACGAGAAAATCACTTACCAGTCGAAAGAGAACTGTCCTCAGTCGAGGCCATGAATTTAAAACGGTAGCATCGCTCAAAGTGTCAGTTCTGGTGCACCGTGTCCATAACTTCTAAAGTTTATTTCAGCTTACACGATTCCTCCAGATCAGACGACGCTGGGTATTCGACTCGCTTCCAACATTCAGCAGCTTTTTTAATCTGATCTATATCGTGAAAAAACGCTTAATAAAGCTACTATGAAAACGATAAAGCCGGCATCGTTGACATCCTCGTCGTAATGGCAAATATTACCAGAAACTTTTGTTGTCTGTCTGAGAATTCAGGCGAAAACCAGAGTGATCAAAGGTCATGTTATACGTCAGTGTTGATGCATATATTTTGTTTTACGCAGGTTTACCGACTGTTAGAAATCAACGGACCGTGACCTCTCTCTTAACTTGCGTACCCAGCTAAAAAAAAAAAAAATGATATTGAGCAAGGGTGCTGCACTACGTAGCTTTCCCATTTGGGGTGTCCATGACACACAACGGTAGTCGTCATTCACCGGGAGCATGAAATACCTTCCCTCCTCCCGTTTCGTCCTTGCATACGTCACTGCTTTCCGAGGTTGGAGGGCTGCTGCTGTTGGAGGGCTTGCTGAGACATGCCGGAGTGTATTATTTTTGGGAAAAGTCCCTACATTGTATCAAGGTACGCTACAAAGGATTTGGGAAACACCCTCGCCTGGGGTACTGAACTTTAATGGTTGTAATTGTTTGAAGGAATAGTTGATAATTGTGCGATTTCACTATTAATATTTTGACCCTAATTGTGTGACGGCTTGTTTACAAAATTTACATCCTGTGCTTTTTTGAATCAATATTTTTGTAATGTTTTATGACAGCATCTTCGGTTTTCTTCCGGTTAGGTTATTTTCGTGTTGCTTCATATTTTCGGAATATGCGACATACCAAGATGGGGGATTCAATTTGTAAGTTGTAACTAAGCCGTTTTTCGCATGTTTCTCGCATGTTTCTACGATGGTATGACAGTCTCAGTTCATATGCAACGAAACGTTTACAGCCCACTTGCTTCGTCTAATCAAAGTGCTATTACAAGAAATCGTGTGCTCGTCGTCCTCGGTTAATTTGGTGTCCATAGCAAATACTTCTGGATCCCGTGCTTAATTCGTCGGTGGCTGAGCTCAAAACCTAATCAGTTTTAATCAAGGCTCTTTTATCATTAACGTGAGGAACTATAGCGAAAAGTCGGTCAATATATGACAAATCGGTTTTGATTCTTGACTAGCTGTGGTAATGAATATCATGTTCTTTTCATCAATTTAGAAGAAATTTATCTACTGGAGATCGATAAGAGATGGAAACCAAAAACAGAATACTTGCTTTCCGACTTGTTTTTGTTTGGAAAATCTCTTTGTTGATGAGCATTGGGTATTTGAAATAAGAGCCGAAAAAATTAATAAAATAAAATAAGATTAATCAGTAGCCTACAGAAAATGAACTTTTGTTGCTTCTGATTTCAAATTCATAACCCGAGCATTCAGTTCATTACTGGCTGTCTTTTATTTATACTTTCTAAAGTGCTGAATGAGAAATTCTCTCGTGCCTTTGTAGTTCTGACAAAAGAAGATAAACGCTAAGAGAGTTACAAACTCTCAAATGTAGGCTTTATTCCTAAGGCAGTCCTTCTCAAGTTATTTTTGGATCACTCCTGGCTTCAGATAGCATGGGAGGGTCTAGAAACAATCAACCAATCCTTTGATCTCGTGAACAACCCAAGCGGCTCGACGTGCGTTGTCAACCCTTGCGAAAACATCTACGCAGCATTAGCTATCACCGGGAAGACTAGATACCATATGTGCAAATAAATGGAGAGACTGGACTGCATTAGGATTAAGACTTATAAGGGAAATTGACTCGCTCACCCCTCGTCCTCTCTTATTTTTGTACGCTCCTTTGTCTCGTCTTTACAAACCAGTTTTGCAAGAACATCTGTCATTGTTTCCAGTGTGCCAGTCACGTTTTCTTTTTCTTTTTTTTTTTCTTTTTGCTGAGGGCCTAAAACGTCTTTTTATTCGTGAAATATAAAATAATTTTAACTTGTACAATTCGTTTTATATATGAAGTGAAATGATTGTTTTGTAATGCACTAACAAGGGCTATGTACTTAACAGGATATTTATCTTAGCACGTGATAACTGCGCGTAATGTGATTCGGAGTTTCTGTCACATGATTACTAGCGTAAGTGCAATACAAGATCAGATTAAAATCATACAGCTGTCGCTGATTACGTAATTTAGAGTCTGAGTTTTGATTTACTAGATTCCAAACTGATATTTGGCTGTGAAGAAGTACCAAGCTATATCTTGAAGACGTCAGTTGCTAAAATTATCTTATTTTGTGGTTTTCAAATTTTACTCTAGATATACAGAGGTCACTACCGGCCGAGGTGGTAGCAACGAAAACCTTGTGTTCAATAAGATGGATCACGAAATATCAGGCCAAGATCTGATTCTTCAAAGAAGTTCTTCTCTGATGGAAGATTCGTTTTCACTTTATAGCACATTCACTCTTCAAGACCGTGTAGTGGCGATTGAACAATCCGGCGAAGAATTTTACGAAAAGGTGAGTAAAAAAAAATCTGGAGAGTGATGTGTTGGTAGGGGTTCACTCGTATGTCACCGGCGTGTATTAAATGTTTTAATTCTTTTCTTGTCTTTATAGACACCTTCTCTAATAAACATTAATCGGTTAAAACACTGTAATCAGGCGCTTTGGTGGTTTAGTCTTACGTTTTTCATCTTCATTAGGTGTAGAAGATATTGGATTGTATTTCAGAAACTAAGAAACCGTAAACTCTAATTAGAGCAAACCGCTAGCCATATTCTTTTTATTTACAATTAAATTGTAAATGTCAAGACGGCAATGATGTCGCCCACTTGCATTAAAAAGCCACTTTGTATAAACACGATTTAAATGTTTTCAAAAGAGATGTTCGAAGATTTAGAAATCTTTATTTTTGAGATCTCCCTCATTTGATTAAATGGCCGCGCTTCCCTTTGACCGCCTTGGAGGATTTTTTAGCAGGATTATGAGTTGAAGATGGCAGAAATTTCATTTAAAAGGCCATGTTCCCATTATCTTTTTAGAGTTAATGAAATTGCCTTTATAGAAAGTTGTCATACGATAGAAAAATATTTGTTTCGAAAGTGTTAGTGTCTTTGGCGTCTACCAACACAGTTTTTGCACAAAAAACAGCTACTTCTCTTGTTGTGGTAAATATGTGTGACTAAAGCACAGTTATACCACAGTAATGTTGGAGATTCCTGATTAAAGATTCCTCAATATTTTGTATTTACATGTTAATTTCCTTTTTAATTACTGGTTTTTCATCCGTTACCGGAACTTTAAGTGTCTGTGTGAGGACTCTCTTTGTTCCCCTAAGTAGGTTGACCAGCAATAAATACAGACGTCAGATTTTATTGACTCAAATGCACCAATCCATTTATAATTAAACGAAAGTTTTGTCGCCGGCACAGCCAATAGTCATCTTAGCTTAGCAATTAATTAATACCATGCATAAATGATATGATCACGGCCACTTTCGCAGCTACTTCACTATATTGTAGCCCAGGGTGATTAGACAATAGAAATCTCCATAAGCCTTTGCTAGGGCTAAAAAAGGAATAATAATAATCATCATCATATTCTGTAGGTCAGGCAACAAATGAATTAAATGAATATAGAAAGAGGTAAAGCCACTATCGCAACTACCATACTATACTGTAGCCCATGTTGATAAGAAAACAGAGAAATCTCCATAAGCCTCGTTCTTACAAGCACAGAAAGAAATAATCATTTTCTGTAATTCAGGCAAAGAATGAGAGAAAAGTAACAGAATGCCACTATTGCAGCTACCTCAGTATATTCGTGGTAGCCCAAGGTGATGAGACAATAGAGCTCTCGATGAGCCTTAGCATGCACTAAAAACATAATAATCATATTCTGTAGGTCAGGCAAGAAATGAGAGAAAAAGGAATAGGAAGAAGCAAAGCGATGGATTCAGTTCGTCTCCAGAGATTGATTGATGTTTGTGACAATAGAGAAAATACTGCAATTTATCTTCTGGAGGAATGGAATTATGAACCACAGGTGAGTTTTCTCTTTCTCCTTTAGGCCGGTAAGGCGAGAGCGATTTACCATAGCAACATTGATTAAGGCTTTTTGCATTTGTTAAAAATGCTAAAAAATCCATAAATTCTTATTTAATTCATAGACCAAGCGACGTGTAACATCACTACTGTGTTTATCTAGCACATGTGATGAGTGAATATTTGACCACTAGGACTTAGACTTCATTAAAGTTGTATTTAAGGTTACTTCCCACCTTCGCGGGTGCCCTTCGGTAAAAAATCATACGCGCGCCAGTTTCAATAAAATCCCAACAAACTCTTTATCATAAGAAAGCTTAATAACTGTACTTTACGAAAAAAAATACAGTTTCAGCAATGCTTTCTTTTAGCAAGTGTCAGGAGGCGGTAAGGCGTGAAACGACCGAGGCTTCTTCTATTGAATTTATCNGATTGAACGTTATCCCAGCATGCTTATGGCTACGAATGGTCAGGGCGAGCTTCCGGTTCAAACTGCTATAAGACGCAGTCAAGATGACGTGGCTGCTTTCCTTATAAGGAGAATGGATCACAGAAGGTCAGTACATCTGCAGCTAAGGTGCTATCTCCATTTAAAAATTCTTCCTCGGGCTCCACGTTTGTATTTTTGTTTTTCTGTAGTATTTGCTTTAAAGTTTGGGCAGAAGACAAATGCAATTTTCATGTTTAAGTAGTTAAAAAAGCACTATTGCGCCAGCGTTGCAGTTTGTCATTTGGTATGCCTCCAAAGAAGATAAAATTTCCTTTTTATTTCTCAAGAGTTGGAAACTTGTTCAGGGCCAAACAACAAACAACAGCCCAAGAAAGCTTAGTGAAACTGACTGACGAGTTTAAAATGCAGGTGAGGAGCTGATCATGAACTTTAATTGGTTAACAGCTGACGACGCGTTATCACTGTTACGAACTCGATAATGACAGAAAAGCAAAAAAGATATCTGTTGTACATAAGCTTAACTTTTTGGTGGGTTTTAAAAGAATAAGGTGATGATGATTGATCGTCAAACAATGCCATGTTCAGTGTTTACTGTTAGTTGACGGTTGACTTGTTAACATTCCGTAAGGTAACTGGCGTTTTATTCCATTGATATTTGACGTTGAATCAATTAATAATCAGTTAATTATCAAATTAACTTTAATTCCTGACCTTTTTATGCATAAGAGTCTAAAGAACGCCTTGCACTACACTAGATTCATTTATTCTCCGTTTATTTTGAAACTTTTTGTGTCGAGATATACTGAATGAAACAAAGTGAATTTTAGTCCGCAAATTAATTTCTTAATGTAATTATCTTATCAACATAATTTTTTTTCCTGTTGTTTTCTAAATTACTTCTTCAATATATTGACAGAAAACCATCGTGGCTGTACTGGATTGTCTTATTTCTCCTCGTTGGCCACACCCACCATGTCTCCCATCTGATATTGTTCCGTGCCTGTCATGGGAACAGCTTCAGGACACACCCACTCACTTTCACGTGACCTATGACATTCTGGAGAGTGACGTCAACGGCAGATTCCCGGATGATGCTGAATATGAATATACGCCCAAATCTTGTTACTACAATTTGGCAAAGCATTGTAATCAGACGTTGAACAAGGTACATTAGCAAATAACAGCACTTGGTCACAAGTTATTTCTTGCCAGTGTCCAGGCTGTGCCCTGGCAGAACTAGAGATTTAGCAAAGAGGCGGTTTATTTCTGTGAAGTTGACTCCTCTAATTACAATACCTCACTTCTTTAAATTTGCACACCTCATCATTCGAATGGAAGTCTCGTTCTTGAATACTCACACTTCAAAGTTTTTGAAGCCAACAGCAGTTTTCTACCTAACATGACTTACTTCTTCACTTGTGTCGCTAGAAGACCTAGACGAACGCTGAGACGTGCAAAAAATGCACAGTGGAAAAACGGCATGGCCTACAATAAAATTCGTTTTTGTCCAGCAATTTTTACTTATTTAAACACATGTTATTTACATTTTTCTCTTTTGCTTCATAGGAAATTTTAAATCACCTTGTGATTAAGTTGCTGACAAAAAGAAAATGGGAGAAATATGCATCTCTCTGGTTCAGGTCAGAATATTTGTTTTAGTATTTCTCTCCGACCCACTTTACATGTCAAGAGCTAAATAAATCACAAACTCGTCCATGTAAGTATAATTATCAAATGGAATTTTGCCGTCAGTTAACATTTGCCAGTTTCGAAAAAGTTGCTGAAAACCATAGAATATTTTATAGTTAAAAGNTCCGGGCCAAGCAGCCAAAAGCAGCTCCAATAAGCTTGGTGAAACTGACTGAAGAGTTTAAAATGCAGGTGAGGTTATGATTGCGGAGTAATGAGTAACAATGGTCTAAAGAATGATCGCTGGTGGTTCAGCTTGATGATAACAAAAAGCAGAGGGGTAAATTATCTGTAATGAGTTATTTGGACATGAAGCGTTTCGATAGAGCCTGAAAGAACTGTATGTTGTCAGGTGACGGTTGAATTTGCACTCTGTCAAGGTTAACGGCAAAATAAAAAGGTTCATTTGGTCATTACGTTGGTGGCTGGCGATCAAGTAATCCATTGTTTATCAGATGATGCTTATTATTGAGACCATCTTACCTTTAAAACTTTTTAACAACTCCACCATGCATTACCTTAAATTTTGTCATTGTAGTTTTTGTGTGTTTGGCTTGCTTCGTGTTTTTCTTTTCTTTTTTTTTCTGTTGCTTTCTCACTTCGTTAAATATCGACAGAAAACCATCGTGGCCGTACTGGATTGCCTTATTTCTCCTCGTTGGCCACACCCACCATGTCTACCATCTGACATTGTCCCGTGCCTGTCATGGGAACAGCTTCAGGATACACCCACTCACTTTCAAGTGACCTATGACATCCTGGAGAGTGACGTCAACGGCAGATTCCCGGATGATGCTGAATATGAGTATACGCCCAAATCTTGTTACTACAATTTGGCGAAGCACTGTCAACAGACATTGAATAAGGTAAATTAGCAAATAACAGCACTTGGTCACAAGTTATTGCTTACCAGTGTCGATTTAGAGCAGGATTTTACTGTTAGCAAGAAGAACTAAAGATCGCTGGTATAGCAAAAAGGTGATTTATTTCCATGAAAAAAACTAAAAAAGTATATAACACTATCTCGCAAGTACTACACTTTACACTAAAGATAAAAAAGTTGCGAGAGTGTTAATTAAACTCTATCTATTAAACAATGAACCTTAACTTGTCTTGGCTCCTCAAGTGAATACATGAAAGATCATAGATTTGAACTGCATAGAAAGGTGTAAAGACATCTTCATCATCTACGGGTATATTACAAACTTACAATGTGACCATGCAGCTCCCGGTTGGCTTGATAGATCAGTTGGTAGAGCACTGCACCGGCATCGCAGAGGTGATGGATTCAATTCTCGTTCAAGCCTGAATATTTTTCAGGCCTAATTTTCACAGCTGCTTAAGCAGTGTACATTACTGCGATCTCTACATCTCTACTCTACGACTCTTTACAGAATTCCGTGTGATTTCCGGGGTTTTTTTAAATTTTCTTCTTATAAGTTTTCCTTTTTTAACAGGAAATTTTAAACCACGTTGTGATCAAGCTGTTGACAGAAAGAAAATGGAACAAATATGCTTCGTTCTGGTTCAGGTATTCTTGATTTACTACCTCTCTTTCATGGAAACGTCAAAGTTTAGTCAATACAAGAATTAAGTTAGTGTCAAAAGGCTTTTCGTCAAAGTAGTTCTTCAAAGTTGGAGAGAACCCCAAACGCCCTTCCACCCAATCAGGTCAATCAGGTCTGAACAGTGTTGATATGTGTACATTGTTTATTAACTTATTCACAGGGTTAGAGGATTGAATTATTTGATTTTCCTGGCGGTCCTTTGTACCGATTTCATGTTAGCTGCGACGTCAGTGCGTCCAGTGGATCATCAGACACCAAGTTCCTTTACATTTCTTGAAGGTTGGGCTATCGCTATGACATTATGGTTTCTGCTCGATGAACTCTCAGAATTACAAAGGTAAAGTTTGCTAAATAGCGTCATGATTAAAGTAATGAAAATATAATCATTTCCAAACGCCACTTACTGAACTATTTAAACTGACTTATTGAGCATAAAACGAAATTAAGAAAAGGTGCGAACGGTTTCACTTCTGCAGAAAATTTCAACTTGATGTAATATATCAAACACAAAGTAAAATCGTCAAGTAAAGTAAAAGTAAAGTCGTCAAAATCCGTGCTAATTAAGAACGGGTATTCAAATCTTCTTCACGGTTGAGATATTCTTTGTTTTAACTTGACGAATTATTAATATTCTTTGTTTTAATTTGATGAATCATTAATGAGTTAAGTTTGAGAAGAAGTTGATGAAGTAATGAATCAAAAAAAGAGCCAGTGCTTCATCTCATTTCGAAACAGAAGAGAATTGAAAATAGGGCTCATATCGGAGAACTTTTGACGAGCTTTGTGAGGCGTTTAGAAATTTGATGAAACACCTGAAGAGTTTTTTATCTTCTCAATCAAAAGTAAAACTGAGGAGAAAACTGAAAAAGAAATTGCTAGACTTTTTGCTATTTGGGATATCAAAAAACGGTCGCTTTCTAACGATTTACGTCCAAACTTGCTAAATTATCAATTGATTAGTTCGAAAGAAGGTGGAAAAAATTGATTGGTATGGATGTCTTACGTTTTCATTATAAATTGCTCCAATTAAAGATTATCACAAGATGTTGGTGTCGATCTTTAAGGTTTCCAAAATTTCTGCCAAGTGAAGTGATATGGAGATCACATTATTTACTTTTTCTGCCTTAAATCTTCAGAGAGCCACTTGCCTACATCAAAGATGTCTTTAACTATTTGGATCTGTCAGGATACTCTCTAATTCTTGTGACCTACGTGATCAGATTTTTTGGAAATGGCGCAGAGTGGACATTTGCTTCTTTGGCGATCTTTATTAACTTCATTGGTATTTTTAAATATGCAGGGTTTGATCGGTAAGTGTAAAATACACTTCCTTACCACTACGCCCTTTTAAGCGCAAGACCTTACCGTTAAGGAATTTTAATTAATGGATCGCAAAATCGCGGTCGCAAATCCTGCGTGGTAACAGATTTTGTTGGATTAAGTGCATGGATGCCTTTTTCTGACGTTCAAAAACCACAATGTTAACTGGTTTTATAAGAAACACCAAGTTAAAAAACATACTGTTTTTCCTGTATCTAATGAAGATCCTTGTGTGGATATTTTCACGGATTGTACGTATCTCCTTGGTTTATTTAAGAAACATCGGTCTGTACATAAAATGCCTTGGGAAGGTCGTTTACAAGGACATTCCAAGATTTCTGGTCGTGTTCTGGGTCATTTTGATGACATTTTCAGTCTCATTCTACATGGCTATGAGAGCGGAGAATGGCACAGTTACAGGCCGAGTACTCAATAACAAGTAAGTATAACAATTATAGGCTTACTTTGAGTTTAACTTGAGATACAATTAACTGGTCTACAAACCCCAAAAATATCCAAAAGACAAGGAGTTTAATTGTAGTCTTTTACTAAGTTAAGAGACCATATACTACAGAAAAATCTGTTGTTGATGTTATTATTGTTTCTTTATCATTTTATAATAGCACGCTCAGAAATGAAATTTCATGCACGACTAGCGTAGGATGCGTGATTTTGGCTGGTGTGATGACCTGGCTCGAAGGATCGTCCATTGTTCGTAATCTGTCAGAAGTTGGGTGAGTTCAGCAGAAATAAGCGACAGTCCTACTTTACTCTGGCTCAGTCTCTAAAAAAACACAGTATTTGTTAGCATCGCCGTATTTACTTTGCATTTGGTTTGACTCAGAATTTAGCCTGCGTTAGCAAGTTCTCCACTCAAGGATTAGGCAGGGAAATGGGGAAAGATGTGAAGATAACAAAAGAGCTTCTCTTCCCCTACATTTCTCGTTCTTCTTAGCGCCCCTATGTAATCCCAGAGTGGAAGGGTAGCCTAGTCTTGATACTGTTTGTGTTTCATATCTAGATGGCTAGGAGCACTGCTGACCGTCGTATTCATGATGAGTGTGACAATAATTTTGTTGAACATCCTGATCGCTCAACTTTCGCTGACTTACGAGCTGGTCCAGGAGGAGTCACTGAATTCATTCATTGCGCTGAGAATGCAGGCCGTGGCGACTATTGAATGGCAGAGCAGGTTTAAGTTTTGGGTAGGTATTCATGATGCGATAAAAAGCTATAAAGGAAAAAATGTAACAAAAGTAAGAAAAATATCGTGCGTCCGAAGCCAGTTATCGCTGGGAACTAACTCTTCTGTATTGTCAAAAATTATTAGGATACTTTTGACTTCTTGTTCAAAACGTTTTTGCTCATGAAACGCCCCACTGGCAAGGCTCAATAAAGTATGTAGGTATTTCTGTTTACTTCCGTGGCAACAGAACGAGTTTTTTT